ATGTTGATGCTACACTTCCCCTAGGCCTTCCAGCCAAAGCCTAAGCATGGCAGAGATACTTATTTCTGCCCCTAAGGTACTCCTACAATAGGCAACCACTGTTCAGAGACTCTCTGTTAGCGTCACTCAGAGTACTGAAAACTGCTCTACAGACTGATGTTCTTCCTACATAGTCCATTTTCTTCCCAGTTTCCTTTCACAGGACTCAGACCTGCATCAGTATCAGGGGCTCTTCTCATCTTCTCCAGCTCTATCCCTCTTTTTCCTTCACAGGCATTGCCCCCAATTCATGCTTAAACCACTCAATAGACTTGAAATGCTTATTGACTATTCTGACATCTTTTGCAAAATCTATGTACCTTTTTCTTCTTCAACTGATAATCATGTCTTTCACCCATTTTTAAATTGAGTTGTGTGCACTGTCCTTTTAAAGTTGATTTATAGAAGTTCAGTAAACAGTTGAGAATTAGATTTTTGTTAGTTATGCATTGTGACTCATTCCTCCAGTCTGTAGCTTGTGTACTCATCACTTTCATAATGTTTATTGATGAAAAGAAATTTTTAATTTTAATGTCTAATATATCATTTTTCTTATATTATGTAAAATGTAAAGGAGCCAAGGTTCATTTTTTTATGTTATCATCCAACTACTCAGCACCATTAATTAGAAAGAAAATTATTTCTCCAATACAGTCAAACCTATAATGAAAATTAGGTAAATGTACATATAAGGATGGACTCAATTTTTGGACTCAATTCTTGGTTAGTTTCTTTGTTTATGCATGGGCTTATTTCCCACAGCCTTAATTATTGTAGTTTTATAGAATGCTCTGGGATTTAAACATGTAATAACATCAACTTTTTATTCTTAAATGTGGTCTTGTTGATCTTAGATTGTATTTTAATTTATTGTTAGATGAGTTTGTTCCTAAAATTACCTGGAATTAGAATTAGGATGACATTAAATCAGGGTTTCTCGAGTCGACTCTTGAAATTTTGGACCAGATAATTCTTTGTTGCAGGGGAAGGAGACCATGCTATGCACTGCAGGATGTTAGAGGCCTTCCAAATTTCTACTCACTAGATACCAGTAGCACTTCCTCATGTTGTCAAAATGATATAAACAAAAAATGTCTCCAAGCCAGGTGTGTTGGTGCCTACCTGTAATCCTAGCACTGTTCGAGGATGAGACAGGAGAATCACAAGTTCAAGCCCAGCCTGAGCAATTTAGTGACTTAGTGAGACCCTGTCTCAAAAATAAAAACATAAAACATGCTGGAGATGTAGCTCAGTGCAAAGGCTCTGCATTCAATTCCCAGTACCACCAAAAATAAATTTTTCCATAAATTGCCAAATATCTTCTAGGGCAGCAGTCCTCAACCTTTTTGGCACCAGAGACCTGTTTTGTGGAAGATGATTTTTCTATAGACCCAGGGGAAGACTAGTATTGGCATGATTTAAACACATTATATTTACTGTGCACTTTATTTCTACTATTACTAAATTGCAATATATAATGGAATAATAATGCAACTCACCATAATGCAGAATCAAGGGATCCAAACAGGTCCTGAGTTTGTTTTCCTAAACAAATAAAAATCCCAAACAAGCCCTGAGCTTGTTTTCTTAAACTAGATAGAATGCATCTGGGGATGGTGGCAGACAGCAACACCTGAAATGTGTTGCTTTTTCCAGTCTACTCCATAATCTCTATTGGGTTGCTGTCATGGCAGAAAACCCTGGTTCACAAAGATAAGATGTTAGAAATCGAAGCTTAAGTGCTTTTTGTGACAGTCTCAGGATATTCTGCCTTGACTTTAATCCAGAACATATGGAGATTTGAAGTGGTCTCAAACATACTTTTAGGTCACTGTTACTTGCTATCTCAAGTAGTGAGCCTCTTCTAGCAAGGTCAAAATCAATTCAACTGGCTTATTTACAAATTTGTCAGAAACCCATTCCTTCCTAGTTTGGGGATCTTTTGTGGTTGGGAAGAAATACTCAAACTCTTCTGAAAGCTGAGATAGGTAATCATGCACCAGCTGGAAGAAAGAAGGCTCTGACTCAATCTCTTTCAAAATCTCTGTTGTTTGAGACATGTAAAAAAATCCCACCTCCATAATTTCAGTTTAACTATAAATGTATCCACTTTATTTTCTGGCTTGAACACAATTATTGTTCTCCCCTGAAGTGACAAATTGAGTTTGTTGAGCAAGTTGAATATGTTACATGAGGAAACAAGTTTTTTGACCCATTCCGAGTCACTGAAATGTGCTGTCAGTGATGCCTGTTTTTCTAAAAGAAATCTCTGAAGTAACTTTCATAATTCAAAAACTGGCCAGTGATCTGCCTTTAGAAAGCCACCTCACTTCTGGGTAGAAGAGAAAATATGTGTGCTCTGTGTCCATATTCTCACAGAGCTTGGTGAACACACATGAATTAAGAGCTTATAATGTGGCCGATAACTGTAATCGCATCTTTAAAAATGCTGTTAAGTTCAGGTGACATTTCTTGACTAGCCAGAATTTCTCTATGGATGGCATAGTGCATAGACTGATGTTCAGAAGAGACCTCTTTGACCCAAGTAGTGAAACCAGAAAGCCATCTAGTCATGGCAGCTGCTTCCTCTGTGCATATTCTGACACAAATGACTAATTCAATTTTTGTGATATGTAATCATTCAAAGACTTGAAAAATTCTGTAGCTGTGGTATGAGTTGGCAACAGAAGTACACATAACATATCCTCATGTACATCGTTCTAAAAATATTGTATAAAAACAAAAATTGTTGCCTTGTCATCAGTAGATTTGTTGACCTTGATTACTTACTATGGTGACCCATTAATCCTCTCTAACAATTGTGCCTCATATTTCATCAATTCATCTAACATGGTGCTAGCTGAAAGAAGAACATGTGCCATTTTTTGAACTTCAGCCTCTCCTATAAGTTCATGACAAATATCCTTAGCAGCAGGCAGGATCAACTCTTCACCAATAGTAAAGGGGCTTCTTAGCTTTAACAATGTGGTTAACTGGGCCAGGAATTTAGCTCAGTGGTTCTGCTGCCTGCCTCACAAGCAGAAGGTCCCGAGTTCGATCCCAGGTGCCAAAACAACAAACAAAAAAAAAAAACAATGTGGTTAACCACTAAGAATGATGTTCTCAGTGCAGATACATTTGATAAAATGCTTCCATTCAATAATTGCTTCTGCTATTTATGTTCATGTTTTTCTTTTGAAAAATTCCAAAGGCTTGTCTTTTTATGTAAGGTGCTTGGTCTCCATGTGATAAACCATTTGTGAAAGTTTCATGGTTCAGTTGGACATGTATCATACAAATCAGGTTTGAAGAATGTGAATCACTTGTTGCAATGAACCCATAATTTAAGTAGGAGTCTTGGTATTTTCTTTTAGCTTTTTTTTGTTGGCAGTCTTAGAGTCTTCTGCTGTCTCATTGTTGGGTCTTTCCTCCTTTTCAAAGAAGCTCTCCAATAACATTTGTGTTTTACTAGTTTCAGATGGGGTTAGCTTGTGAGCTATTAAAACTGACTGAGACAAGTGTGCATTGTGGAAAATAGATGTAGATGGAAGAAATAAATAAAATAGTGGGCAGGCCATATGCAGGCTAAAATAAATGTTGGATTCTGACTTTAGGCCCGCCACTGATGTAGCTATACAATTGAAGCACATAAACTCACTATGAAACTTGCCAGCAGTTGCAGCTTGTTATTCTCCACCCATTGATAGCATTTTGATACAAATCTGTAAGCAATTAATTTTTGATGGCTTCTGTGCAGTCAAACCTCTCTTCTAATGTTAATTTTCATTTGCAGCTGCTCCTCAGTGTTAGCATCACTGCCTCAGCTCTATCTCAGATCATCAGGCATTGAATTTTCATAAGGAACACACAACCTAGATCTCTTGTAGTGCACAGTAGGATTGGTGCTTCTGTGAGAATCAAATGCCACCGCTCCTCTGACAAGAGGTGGAGCTTAGACAGTAATGGCAGCAATGGGAACAGCTGTAAATACAGATAAAGCTTCACTTGATCACCCACTGCTCACTTCCTGCTATGGAGCTCAGTTCCTAACAGGCCACAAAGCATATCAGTTCATGGCCCAGGGGTTGAGGACCCCTGCTCCTGGGAACAAAATTTTCACCCCCTCATTGCTAACAACTGTATCAAATCTATTCAACTTAGAGAAAATTGACATTTTAATAGTACTGACCTTTCAATTCATGAAAATGGGGTCTCTCTTGAGTTAGTTCTTTTAAATATCTCAGCAATGTCTTATAGTATTGAATGTAGAGTTCTTGCACATCTTTTGTTAAATTTATTCCAAGGAATTTGACATTTTATGCTATTATAATTTTCAAATTGTTTATTTTTAAGATATAAAACATAGTTCATTTTTATGTTGATCTGGTATCCAGTACCCTTGTTTGTAGGCATTTTAAATTTTTCTACAAACATAATCAAGTCACTTGAGATTAAACACAGGTTAACTTCTGTTGAAATCTATTTGCCTTTTATTCCTTTGTCTTGTCGATTACATTGGCTAGGACCTTCAGTATTATGTTCCAGAAACACAGTGCCAGCTGGCATTCCCATCTTGTTCCTAACTATAGGTGAGAAGAATTCAGTATTCTGCCACTGAATATGACACTCTTTGTCAACTTTAGAAAGTTCTCTTCTATTACTAGTTTATTGAGAAATATTATCAAGAGTATTGAATATTATTAAATTCTCTTTAAGCATCTATTAAAATGATCGAGTGTTTTTCTTTTTTATCCTGCTAATAATTTATATAAATTGAATTTTTATGTTAAGTTATCTTTGCATTCCTGTAATTAATCATGAACAATAGTAATTGTGACTAAATCATGATTGGTTATGATTTCATATATTGTTGAATTTCATTGAGGTTATGGAAAGATTTCTTAAACAGTACATAAAAATATAATATTCATCTAATTTTTGTTATATAGATGCTTCTGCGCTATGAAAAAGACATTCCTTTAAAAATATAATATTGGAACAATGGGACAGAAATGAATCTTGACCTTTATTTCACTTTTTTTTTCTTTTTGAGACAGGATTTTGCTCAGCAACCCACGCTGCACTTGAACACACAATCTTCCTGACTCAGCCCCCCAAGTTCTGGGATTACAGGTGTTTATAATGATGCCCATTCTTACTTTACTTTTAAATGTGCTAAAATATATGTAAATATAATATCTATGTATAAATATACATAAAATTAAATTTATTATTTTAAACACTTTAAGTATACACTTCAGGGGCATGAAGTTCAATCACATTATTGCTGTCACCACTATCTATCTCTAGAACTTTTTTTGTCTTCTCAAAAACTCTATAATCCAATAAATAATAATACACTATTATCCCCTTGCCTAGCTCTGGTAACCTCTATTCTACTTTCTGTCTCTATAATTTGACTCTTAGTATAAGTACAATCATACCATATTTTTCCTTTGGTGAGTGGTTTACTTGACTTAGCATAATGTCACTGAGGTTCATCCATTTTGTGACATCTGTCAGAATTTTCTTTTTAAAGATGACTAATACTCTATTATATACATACTGTTATGGTTTAGATCTAAAATGTATCCCCAAAAGCTCATGTGCTCAGAAGATGGAGTTTTAGAAAATAATTAGATTCTGGGGGTTGTGATTTCAACAAGTGGATTAATCCATTGATAAACTTATAGTTGGATGGGATTATTAGATGATGGAAACAGGAGATGGGGCCTAGTTGAAGGAGTAGATTCTGCAGGTATGACCTTGGAACTATTTCTGGTACCCAGCCCCTTCCTCTCTGGCTCTTTCAACTCTCTGTTTCCTGGCTGCTTTAAGGTGAGCAGCTTTTCTCTGCCATGAGCTTCTGCCATGATGTTTCTGTCTTACTGTAGGCCTAAAACCAGTGGACCCTTCTTACTGTGGATTGAAATCCCTAAAATCATGAGCCAAAATAAGTGTTTCCTTCTTTAAATTGTTTATCTCAGGTATTATTTTCATAGTGATGCAAAGCTAACACACATATATTTTGTTTACTCATGCATCCATCAATGGGCACTGGGTTGCTTCTGCCTTTTGGCTATTGGGAATAATGTTGCCAAAACATGGGTGTACAAAATCTCCGCATGTTCCTGCTTATGATTATTTTGAGTGTATACCCAGAAGTGGAATTGCTGGATCATATGTTAATTCTGTTTCTATTTTTTTTAGTAAGACAAGACAAAGAAATGAAAGGAAATATCTCAGTGTTTTTTTCACAGCAGCTGTACCATTTTACATTCCCATCAGTAGTATTCAAGGCTTCTACTGAACATTTTACACAAAAAATAATTTTTACAAAAATTGATCTGAGATGTATTATAGACCTAGTTTTGAGTGGTAAAACAACAAAGCTTTTAGAAGAAAATTTGGGCAAATAGCTCCATGATCTTTAGCTGTAGGCTTAATCTTCAGATGCTGTTTTGATTGCAGAGATTTGGTATCTTTAGGATGTGATGCAGAACTACAAGGGAGAGAATTCCATCTTCTAGAGTGTTTTAATTACCTGTGCAATATGGATTTGAGTGCTTTTAAATAGAAATACATGCTCCAATTGCTCTAGCCTTCATCACTCCCTAAAGACTATCCCCACACCAATTGTTTTCCTTTCCATTTACCTGCTTAGATCCCAAAACATCTAAATTGATGATCCTTGGTCTATAGTATTAATGTAGCCAAAGAACTGTTACTGATACATGTTTTAATTATGACCTCACTATATATACACATGTGTTCTCAAAGAACATGAATTACTATTGTCATAGTGTATTCTATTGACCCAGGACTCTCAATGGTTTGTTACAATTAAAAAATGTTGAAAATCCTTCACACTGAAGAACGATTTGTCTTGTACATAACAAAAATAAAGTACTAGGCTATAAAATTGCTCCAGTGATGTAGGGCAGATTCCATATTGCTGGGTTTCTCCATGTCCATGCCATATTACCACAGAGAAACAGCCCAAGAGATGGTGGCATTGGGGAAGATGATGGTAATCTTACAGCTGCTGAAGACATGAGTGGGGGATAGTGGATTCTCCAAGATTGGGGCTTGCATTGTGCCTCTCTCTATTTGAACATGATCCAGTCCAGAACATGCAAATGAGAGAACAAACAGTATTCTTTTCCCTTAGATTCTCATGTGAACACCCTCAGCAAGTCTGAGGTCAATTCAGTGGGGCATAGAAAAGGAAAAGTTTTCCAGAGTGAAAGATGCAAAATCAGGAACACATTTGGGAGCCAGCAAGTAATTTGGCATGGCTAGAGGACAAAGTACCCTAAAGGAACTAGGATAAATTGGCTAAGGCTTCTACTACTGAGAGGAAATTTAAATTGGAAGCACACACCCTTTTCACCCCTGCCATTGTAACTTTAAAGGAGCAGGAAATTTGGATTTTTCTATAGTAGTTAATTATAACAAATAAACTTCTTAATCACTGTCCTTATCCGATGTGGTATTTTGTCTCTGCAAATGGTTTAATGTGATAATTATGCTTCTAGTCAAAACATCTCTGTTGGGCTGCCAGAGCTGATCCAGAAGAAGCCTTGTATTCCGAGGTGACATGGTAGAACTTCAGATTTCTAACAAGTACATTAAATGTAAAAGGAAGCATCAAAAAGATAAATTGCAAGCCAATCGAGATAGTTAATGAATGTAACTTTTATACTCATTAGTAGAAAATTAGGTTAACCAATACTTATTAAACACAAGAAGAATCTTATAACGTGTCTCATTGTATTTGACATATATTTTAGCTACTTCTATGACCCTGATATGATACTCAAAACTTCCTGATAATTTTGCTCTATACTCACAACACTCACAAAATTGGATATATCTCCATTTATAAAAATTAGGAAAATGAAGATTGTTTTGCAGCTGGCTGCTGTGCCTCTCCTTGGTAACACCACTTGCCTTGCCCTAAACCCAGCCAACATCTGTGCTGCTGTTTTTTGTTCTCCTAAGGCACAGCTGCTCCCCATTGTCTACCACATAAGTCCAAGTTCTTATGCATGTGCAAGAGATCTGTTCTCCTGCCCCTCTCCATCCACTCAATTTTGGTTTTTCTTTCCAGATTTATCTCTCATTGTTCCTCCAGAGAACTGACACTGAAACCACAGCTATCCTATACTTTTTATGGGGCTCCCTCTGCCTAGACCCCAACTTCTCCTATTAATATATATCAGTGCTTATAAGCCCAAATCAATGCTAGCTCCTTTTTTGCTAAATGCCACTAGCACTTTACTCCATTACAGTTATACACCAATAGCCAGTGTAACAGAAGTCTCTTTTGAGCCTACAGAGAATGTAGACATCTCTGACCCTGTCTGCCACTGGGGGAACCTCTCCATCAGCAAAACTGCATCAGCTACCTGCAGGAAGAAAAGGGGTCGATGGGAACAGGTTACTGCATACATTCCTGAGAAGAAAAGTGGGAAATGAAGAGGATATAGCATATTCTGTCTCTCAGCCTGGTCCCAGGTTAGATGGTGTCTGGACTGTATAAAGAAAGAACTTTGGCAAAAGCAAATGCAATTGTTTGTAAAAGAAAATATTTACAGACAGAGCTCATATGAATTCTCAGGATCCTGGGGAATTTGCAGAAGTGTTTAAAAGACACTGTAGATGGTCAAGACCCTGTGATGAAGGCCTGTAGAATCTGAATTATTACTACTGATATCATTTATTTATGTGCCAAGACTGATAGGGATTAGGATAACTTGGGTTACACTAACATTCATTTACTACTTGAAATGCCTTAAACTTATCTCCGTATAAGTATCTGATTTAGTTACCATAATAACCATGTGAGGTACATATTACTACCAGCAGGTTTTCTCATAGCATTGAATTTGAGCATAGTGTTTATTATTGTGCAGAGTCTAGGACTGATCAGAAGACCTCAACTTGGGCTCTTCTGCTTATGCCTGTGTGATCCTGAATAAATTTCAACCTCTCCAGGCTTTAATTCCTCACTCACAGGACAGCGATACTGTAAGACTTAAGGATGCCATAAGACTGAGATGATGAACAGATCATGTATAATTGTGATAAATTATCATGGCATATAATTTTCCGTCATTGCATTCACCTTCCACATAAATTACTTATTGCTATTCATGTTTCAGTAGGGTAGAAAAATTAAGGGAACAACTATGCCTTATTTGTCTCTGTATCAACTTGGCTTGCACAGAATAAGTTCTCAGTACAATGGCATGGAATTGTGCAGGAGTGATGAGCTCTAATATGAGCCTGAAAGGAAGGATTCAAACTGCAGAATGGCTTTGACTAGACAGCAATCCTGAGATTATTTATTAAGTCAAATCAGATTTATAATAGATTGAGATATAATAGGTCAAATCAAGTTTCCCAGAAACATAATATATAGCCAGGACAGACAGAATATTAACCATCAAAAAAGCAGGAGCTGGCAAACTTCCTGTGAAGGGTCAAAGAGTAAGCATTTTAGGCTTTGCAGCTCATCTGGTTTCTTTGGCAATTACTCAACTCTGCCATTTTACCACGAAAGCAGCCATAGATAGAAAGTGGATAGGAACAACTCTATTCTAATACATTACATATTTCAAAAACTCATGGCTGGATTTGGCCTTTTGAGCCATGGTTTGTTAATCCCTGAGATAGAGGCTTGTCCTGTTGCCAAAAAGGATTTATATCAAAAAGCTGAAAGCAAAACCAGGTGGTGATACAGAATGGAAAAGTTGAAATCAATGAGTGAAAGTGAAGCCCTGCATTTGGTTTCAAACACTAAAATGAACAAGTGCATAACTGGAGAGAAGGTTCACGTAAAGGGTCTGTTGAATTGGATCACAGTAAAATTTTTTCTAAAAGTTCAAAAGTTGAAAAATGAAGACTTCGGGGTTTTAGTTGTCTGAAAACTCACAATGGGACCAACAGTGCAATGTCGCTTCTAGGAAAATCTAATGAGCTGTAGGTCTCCCCATCCAGAACAAACAGGAGGAAGCTATGTCCGTGTCACTGCTGGGTCCTTGCACCCAACATGGTGCTTGATAGGCAAGAAGCACTTGCTGGGAAATGGTCCCCCTGCTTCACTCTGGTGGGGCCTTGATATCTGTGTGTGTCCCCCTGTGCAGTGCTGGGTTCAAAGGTGAGAAGTGGTGTTTGAGCCAAGACCTGAAAGACATAACCAGGTCCAAGAGAGGTGACCTGGTGGGGTGGAGAGCTCCAGGAAAATGGGCAGCACCACCATCCAGTCTACGATTGATTCTCTGGTTGGGGCTCCGTTTTCTTTCTCTTCAAAATCCCAATTAAAATGCAGGCTTCTAAAGAATGGGGAGAAGGGGTCATCATGCTCTCTAAGAAGTCTTAATTTCAGCTTTGTGTTGAGAAAAAATATGCTCCCCTACCTGAGAGAGAAGTAAATGTGTTGACATATTTAGGAAAACATTTGGAGTCCTTCAAATAAGGCTGTAAAGGGAGATGAATTTAAGAAATCGGCAGGTCTACGGAGGGAGTTCTCACAGCCACCAATAATCTGCTTGCAAAGGAACTAATTACATTTGGAGAGGACTGTGTGCCTGAAAAAATAATTAAAAATAAATTGCTCTCCTTGGAAATGCAAATTACTGCATGTGAAAGCAACCCCATTTGGTCACCTACACGATAAATAGATGTGTTTTCTCGAGTCTGTTAGGTGGCATTGATTGATTTGCAATTCTAGGTACAGCTGGGTCTGAGTAGCTTTTGCAATAAAGGTGAGGGAGCCCCAGGGTCAGCAGGGACACCTGTTGAAGTCTTATGGCATGATGGCCCCACCTTGGAGTCTTCCAGGCTGTGAGGTGGGGAGCCCTTAAGAATCAGATTTCACTTGCTGCTTGTCTTGAGCCCCAGCCCTGCAAGAATAGGAGGGGTGGTGGCCTTGTGACCCCTCCTCCTCCAGATACTATCACAGTCCTTTCCTACTGCCCAGACTGTCAGGTCACAGAAAGTAAGTACCAGGGGCCATGGGCCTCTTGGTGGTAGGGAGACATGAAGCCCTGGCACTGACTGATCATGGCTGCACAACCACCCTATTCCAAAGGACAGAAGAAAGATTTTTCCTTCATCATGACTTAATAAGTCTTTTAGCACAAAACCAAACACCCCCCCATCAATATATAAAATGTTTTATCATTTTGTCAAAGAATCAATACTGATTCTCCTACTCTTCAGCTGTCGAGTGGGCATTTGTAGATGAGCTAGGGGAAGATAGTTGGATTTGTGCCTGGAAAGAAGTCACATTCCAGTTGGGGAGGCAGATTTGAAGTAAACAAGAGCATGTTCCCAATTCCTTTTGCCTTGCTGACATCAGACTCCTTCCTATGTCTCTTATCTAGAGCACAAAGATTACCTGGAGCCAGTGTGACTGGGCCATCAGTGTTTCCAGGAGGATCAATGATGTAAGAGAGGAGTGAGGAGAGTGCCCATCCAGGGCTCTGCCTTAGGAGGTCATTTGCTCCTCTATGCTGTGTGAGGACCCAGGCTGTGGGAGGGAGGCACTAGAACAAGGACGAAGTTCACTTCTGAAGGCTACACTGGGTAGGCAAGGTAAAACACAAAGAAACACGTAACAGTTCCAGGGAGCACATAAGTGCTCACTAAATGTTCCTATGAGCCTCAAGTGATGCGCCCAAAGCCACAGATATAGTAAAGGTCAGAATCAGAATTCTTTCATACTCCAGCCAATCCAGTTCGAAAGTCCCACCACACTCCAACTCCAGGTGCCTCTCAGGATTCAGCTGCATTCATCTTCCTCAGCATCTTCTCGTCTGTCTGTGGTCCCACCTCCAGCCCGTTTCATGCCCACCCAGAGGGACCTCTCTTTCTGTGCGCGGAGACTCTGCCTCGACAACTTCCTGGCCTTCTGATATAAGCAGAGGAGGAGAATCAGCAGAAGACCGAACAGGACAATGGGGCAGACAACTAGAAAATAGAGTAAAGGTGCTGAGGAACATATCCTTTCTTGAAATGTGGGCTCTGAAACAAAAAGGCAAAAAATACAGAATAATCAGTATCCAACTTATACGGTCTAATCAATCGTGTGCATTTCTCCATTTATTGTTATAAGCAAATATATATAAAAATAACAGGCCAAGTGGCAGAGACCCCTTAAGTTGCATGTGTGAGCACAGGATGGGGCGAGGAGAGGCCCCCAGGCACATGCTGTGCAATTCCCGCTTGCCCAGCAATTTCCAATGACCTACTTAAAACTACCAGCCAAAATGAAAAACAAAACAAAACCAAAAAAAAGGAAAACAGGGAAAAAAAAACCACTCCTTTAATCTTCTTTCCTCAGAAAAGTTATCTATAATTCAGCCCTCGATCTCAACTGCGTTGCTTGTCCTGAATTTTTAACTGAAGAATTCCCACAGCTACTTGTGAAAATAAACACACCACTGCACCGTCCGTTCACACAGCTGCATCTGCCCAGCAAGCCCTTTTCTCCTGACCCCTGTGTGGACCCCAAGCACCTCAGTCCAGGGACCCCCCCCTTGGCTCCTTCCTTGTGCTCCTCAAAGATCACTCCCTGCATGTAATCTTCCAGGTCCTCTGGGTTTAGTGGGATCACACCTTCTCTGCCAGTGTGTCCTACCTTGCCTTGGGCACAGTACCCTTTCTTGTTCCCTCTCACACAGCCCTTTGTTTAGGACTCTTCCATTCCCTTTTGCTACCTCCTTTGGTTCTTTAGAGTTACTAGAGTATATCTGATAGTGTCATTTGTTTCTGCTTCCCCTACAGTGCCTAGCACATGTGTTCAATAACTTGTGCTAATCAGATTGGCTGCAACCACAGGGGCCAAAGATACTATATAAAGGCCTGCTGAAGCCTATGATCCCCTGGCAGCTGCAGCCCCCTGGGAAGCACCATTGGCAGACAGACATGCAGTGCCGGAAGACTGCAACTACCACAGGTTCCAGGAAACAGTGCCCTAAGCCACTGGCCAAATAACCAGGTTTACAGACTCTTGAAGCAGAAAGTCATATGCTTAAAGAGATGCCAACCATCAGTTGTAGTTTCCTAGTCACTTATGTATGACATCATATTTGAAATCAGGACTGTTCTGAAAAAAATATGATGCCAACAATAGCTGTGCTTTTTTTGGAAAATTGTAATGACATAAGCAATCTCTTCCTCAAAGGTTAAGGTATAGGATTCATGGGATTGTAGATCTCAGAGATGAAAAGAGGTTTAGAGGTCATTTTGACCAAACTCCTGCTGCAAGGATTCCTTTGTTGTATTGCTGATGCATTTTACATGTTGAAGAGCACCTCTTTATTGGGAATCAAGATAGAGTCCAAACATTTGCTCAAGTCCTGCATTGTATGCTCTTGGAGCGTAGGGCTTGCGGCTTCTGTGATCTTGTGCAGCACTTTGCCCATAGGACCTCAGTGGAGCCTGGCGAATGAGTCAATTGCAGGAGTGCTGACCACACAGGAACCTGGAGATGGCTGCCTCATGTGATGCAAAGTAAATATCCTCCCTGCAGCTCTAAGTGGGGCTGGAAAAGAGCTGCCGAGGCTTACGGCTTACAGTTTGTCTAGTCTCCTTTGTATTCTCCATTCTATGTTTGGTTTTTCTTTTTGAAAGGTGAAGCAATGGCAGAGCTAGATTTTAGTTCTTTAAGTCCCCTTTCCACATTCTACTGGACTCATCTCCAAAATGATCTGGCTTGACTACAAGTATTCTGCCACTTCTCATCAGAGTACACTTGAAGGTATGGTTAAAAGAAGGCACAAGCTGCAACGCTGAAAGAGAATAAGAGCAGAGTCTGGGTGTTAAGAGCACTGGCCATGGACATTTGTCCAGAGTAGTAAATGAGCACCTGCTGTATTTCAGAGAGAGCTAGGTTTAAATCCTCACTCTTCAATTTACTGTTATTGACATTGGATAAGTTACTTATCTTCTCTAATCATTAGTTTCCTCATCAATCAAACAGAAACAACAATTTCTAGGGTTATGTTGAGATCATGCATAATACAGCACTTAACATAGTGCCTAGAACATGTGTTCAGTCAGTAAGCAATAAATATCAGTTAGAATGCTACTGGGAAAGCTGAGCAAATCACAGGTAACTTTCTTTTAAGAGACCAGGCAGAGAGCAGGGTCAGAGCCTACTGACTTCTCACAGGATCAACAAGTGCTATAGTTTGGATCTAAAATGTCCTCCAAAGGCCCATATGTCAAAGGCCTATATGTCAAAGGCTTGGTCCTAGAGCCCTTAAGAGGTGAGATCTCATGGGAGGTCTTAGGTCACTGAGGTGGCCTTGAAAGGGAAGGGGATTGTGAGGACCCCCCACCTTGTCTTTTCTATTTCCTGGCTGCTATGAAATGAGCAGCTTCCTCTGCCACACACTGCAGCCATGAGGTGCTGCCTCATCATAGGCCCAAAGCAACAAGCCAAGCAACCACCATAGACTGAAACCTCCAAAACTGTGAGCCAAAATAAAACTTTTCATTATTAGTTGATTATCTCGGGTATTTTGACACAGCGATGGAAGCTAACTTTCTTGAATTGCTGATTGTTCTGTTCCCAGACCTGGGTGACATCCATCTGAGAGTCATATGGTTACTTAGGCAGTCCTGGCTTCCTGTTCTAGTCATGGGAGGCAGAGACTTATGAGAGTGTGGCACCAAGTGTCACAGTTGCTAGGATGCAGGAGTAAGATGGAGCTGGCATGGAAGAGGCAGGAAGAAATCTGGTAATGGGATTTCTGCTGTGAGACTCTAACCTTTGCCATGAAGGGACTGCCAGAGGGCTTGACTATCTTAATGGGGGGGAGGTTGATCCGCTTAGAGCAATCTGCCATCAAAGGACAGCAAAGTGCACTCTTCACAGTGCTAAATTGGCTGACAGCTAACAACTGTCAGCTCTGGTGGTTCTAAATTACCTCTCCCGGGAGGGCAGGGTTTGCTCTGGATCCCACAGTCACCATTTCCCACCATCTGCCTCTCACCCATATTTGGATTAGAATTGGTGACACTCAAAACCATTAAGGTTTGGCATTCGGAATCAATTTGAGTAAGTGCCCGATGCTCAAATATAAGGCCTGCAAAATAGAGCCAAAATGTAATGAGAACACTTCATCATGAGGTTAGTTTATAACTTGTTTCCACACACAGCCAGACACAGGATAAGGAGCCCTTCTTCCTGACACTACCTCAGAAATGCTGACTTATGAGGAGCATAGGATGACAAGGGCTACCAACTTCTCCCCGCCCACCAACTCAAAACTTGGAAAATTGACTAGGCCATATGCAGTCATGTGAGAGTTGGCTCCTTCCAAGAAATAAAGGTTCCCTAATAGCAAGTGCATCCCCTAATAAGCGAGCCCATCCTGGATCAGTCTAACTGAGGACTCCCTCACTCTTTCATCAAGTATTTGTTGATGGCTACGTGCCAAGACTTATTCAAGGAAACTGGAAAAACATAAATGCCATGGCCTCTCCAGAAATTTCAGTGTGGTGGGGATGTGTGCCTTCCTTAAGAATTGACTTTCTAAATAAATCCTTATCCAAATAAAAGCTGGGAAATAGCAACAAGACCTGCATAACTACAAATAATCCAGTTCCCAGAAAAGCCTTATAGCCTGGCCTATCAATTAATCAGAGATAATTCTTCAGATTAAGACATTAATATTTAGGGTCAGAGAATGAGGCAAAAAGACTCAGACAGCTATGGTTCTGTGCTGGGTTAGTCACTGGTGAGGACGCAAGGTAGTGAAGAAAAGGCAAGGAAGGTCCTTTTATACTTCTCCCAGTGGGAACTTTTAAAACCCAAGTCAGATGATGTCACTGCTCTCCTTGGACTTGTTCAGTAATGCCCCGTAGCTGTCATGTTAAAGTGCACTTCCTTGGACTTGTACATTAGTCACATTTGAGATCTGTGTCCTTTGCCCCTTACTAGTCTCACCTCTGGCCATTGTACCACATGGCTGCAGTTTTTGCTATTCTCAACTATGAAGTTCCCTAAACATAACATAAAGTTTCATGTCTTTTTATCATATTGCCTACCCTTTCCTTTCTCTGCACTATCTTTTGCCCTTTTTGCAGGTTCCATACCCTAGGGCACCTTCCCAGATCTCCTCCCAACCTGAGCCTTCACCTGAGCTTTCTCAGCATCCTGGGAACACTTATTTGATGGCACCTATCATGTTGGATTTGACTCCCCCACTAGACAACAAACTCTGTGGGAACATGCTCTGTCACACACATTTTTATGTTCTCAGAACTTCATATATTTATCAAACAAATTAAAATATTTTGTCTCATAGATGGATATGTGTGTACACATACATGGTGTGTACATGCCTATACCATGCTTGGAGGTAAAGGGGAAGTGGGGTTCACATTTTTTTAGTCCTTATAACATCTCAGAAATGGCCCTAGATATATTAAAAACATTTGTATTATGATCCTCATTTTCTGAGAAAGCTCAGGCTCTTAGAAGTCAAGTAACCACGATGTGCATTCATGGCAGTGGGTGGTAAAGCTGTGATCAGAGCCTAGGCTTATCTGACTCCAACCTCTGGGGACCTTGCAGCACCCTGAAGTTGTAGAATCCAGATGCTACGTTACAAGGATTTCCTTGATATTAGTCTCACAGAAAATCCTTGGTGGGTCATTGCACAGGCTTTTGAGCTTTTTCAGTTGTGAAGAATACAAAGACCACTCAATTTTTAATGTTCCCTTTCCAGAGTTCATCTTTTTAAAACCTTACTTCTGTTTTACAAGGTTAAGCTTCCTCTCCAGCTTGGTTCTATTGGGAGGTAATGGAGATTTTAGGAGACGCGGCCTAGTGGAAGGTCTTTAGGTTACTGGGGGCATGTCCGTAAAAGGGTTAGTGGGACTCTAGGCCTTTTCTCTTTCTCTCTTTTGCTTCCTAGTCATGAAGTTAATGGTTTTGCTCTGCTAAGGGCTCCCACCATGATGTGCTGCTATGGACTCAAAAGAACAGGGCCAACTAACTATGTTTGCGATCTCTAAAGCTGTGAGCCAAATAAACCTTTCATCTTTAATAAGTTGCTTATGTCAGGTATTTCTTAAAATAATGGAAAAATTTAACACCTACACTACTATCAAAGTCCTGGTAGTTTTTTTGAGTATAGAGAAAGACAAGGAGGGTAGTACTTAGTCATTGATTGAGAAAGGTTGTTCTGTTTTTGTTTTTGACTAGGGAAATATTTAGATGGAATTGATTCTGATTCAGTCAGGTCAAAATGTAAAATCATCATTTCACTATCTCTCATTTTCATTCCACTGCTGAGCTGAACATCTTTCTGAAATTGTAAGATCTACCAAGGTAAGGATGTCTGCTTCACAAATTATTTGTTTATTTAAAAGGACATGATGTTGATGGCTTTTTTGTTTGGGAAGGGAAGGGCACAAGAGGTCAGACAGATGCACCTGTAATTTAAGTATCTATTTCCTAAGCCTCAGGTAGACCTTGTTTGTTCAAATGAATTGCTTCTGAGAGAGGTAGTAAAGCCATCTTCTTTAGGAAATCTGGAAATCATCTTTACCTTGAAGAAAAGCAAATCAGAGCTGAGGGGAAAGAATACAAGGAGAGCCAAATATTTTCATGACCATGAGCCTGTGGCAGAGTAACCCCTAGTTACCTGCAGACAGCACTGTGAGCACCATCAACTGTGACTCATCTGATGCTTGGTTGACCCACTTGCTCTGGTGGCCATGCAGCTGCCACTCTGCCACGCGGCACCAGTATACCCCAGCATCCTCCTTCTCCACCTGATGCAGCTGCAGGACAAAGTCTGTAGGAGATGAACGGTAGCAGTGCAGATGTCTCCTGTGTCCCTCATCCCCATACTCCAGCAAGCCATTGTGCTGCAGGTGCACCAGCATGTGAAGCCTGCCATCTTCTCTGCTCCAGAACCATGTCACAGAGTACAAGGACGTCGAGCCCCCTGAGCCCTCAAGGCTGCAGTGGATGTCCACATTTCCATGCTCAGTAGCATTTTCTATCTGGTACACTCTGGAGACACTCACCTTACTTCCTAGAAGACAAAACGACAGGGGTTTGACGTTCAGACTGGAAACCCCATCTGATATTCTTTAAACATCAGACCTTCATTTTTAACAGTTTTCTTTGATCCTTGTCCTTTTTTTTTCACATTTGCCTGAATGTTCTCTGTTATGAATCAAACCAGTCACTTGTCTTTCTCCTCTTGCCCAATGGACCCTGCCACTAAAAATCACCCAGCTTTAGCTGGGTCCTCTGAACTGCTGTTTTGGCCTCTCCTCGGCCAACTTTCTTGTAGAATTCAGCAGTAGTCACACAGATGCAGAGGGCAGAAATATTATAAATGAGTCTAGTGGGTTGGCAGGGATGATAAAGGCAATTGGGGCAGGCTCAGGATGAGGGTCTCTGGGGCTTCTGTGTACAAATAAACAGCTGGCATTTAGGTTTAAAGGCCTAGGACCCAGGAGATCAGGGCAGAGCATAAAGACCCAGAGTTGTCATCTCAAAGGTAGTACTTGAAGCTGGGGAAATGTTTAAAATCTTCTGAGAAAAGCAGAGAATAAGAAGCAGAAGGGCCCAGGATGCATCCCTGAGGAACACTCATGTTTAGCAGGGACAGGAAGAGGGCCCTGAAGAAGAAAAGGGGAACCAGAACAGCAGGAAGAGATCCTATTATGCCCCTGCTGCTTCCACAGACTGTGAGCCCCTTACAGGCAAGAGCTCTGCCCGATTTATCTTTGCTTTCCTGTTACCTCATGAATAGTAGTGTTCAATTATAAACATATTTTTTGACATTGCCTTGAAAATAATAAAGTAAGTGCCAAATTAGATCAACTTATTTGCATTGTGCTATTGGATCTGATCCAGTCCCCTAGTCTTAGCTGTGACATCCATTTAATTTTAATCAACAGTAGAGGTGACCTAACCAGTGCTGAGAGACCTGACCAAGCCTGCCGACATTTAGGCCGCAGCACTCAGAGCCCTGAGGATGGATGGAACTTCCATTACATTTTTAAAGATCTCCTGAGGAAGAGGAGATTCCCTCAGTAAGCCATTCCAACAGTTAACTACTCTTATTTGCCTTATGTTTAGGCAGCCAAATGTTGAAAAGCAATTTCTCCACACATCCCCATAGAGTTGTACAGTTTCTGTTCACAGTGGGAGAAATATGCTTCGTATTACCCTTTCTCTGCCAAATTACAGTAGAGTCCCACTGGAGTGACACAGCTTGTTATTATAGAGATCTGGAGATACAATACCCTGGGTAGCTGCACAGGCCAGGCGGCTAGACTGATAAGCAAACCTATGCACAGGATCTTGCTCCTACTTGAGTTTCTCAAAACCCCAGATTGATTCACCTCAGATGACCTCCATCCTCTGGTGTGCCACCAGCTCTTGCAGTCATTCTCGTAACTGCACTGTAGGTGAGCAGTATTCCTGTAACTCCAGGTCATATTTTTACTTGTTTCCACATAACACTCTATAGAAGCTACCCAAGAGAAGGTGATATTCTACAGAAAGATGTGAGCTCATGCACTCACAAATTTTACCTGTGGGCTTGAGTTTCAATTTTGTTAGTCCAGACTTCTCTCCTCCAAGTTTTTGCCAAGTGCCATTTGGAGTCAGGAGCCATTCCTCCACAGCACAGTAATATTCGCCCTGATCACTGTCATCCACACTCAGAATATGGAGCTGAAACAAGTTTTGGGAAACTTTCGCAGTGTGAAATTTTTGTTTTCTCCGTGGGGTGTGAAATTCATCCCCATATTTTATAACATTGGTCTGGTCCATTTCCAAGATCTTCAGCCAAGATGTATGAGTGGAAATGGGAGAAAAGTACCAAGTAATGGCTAACTGGAGGTTTCTAGTGTGCTGGGACAAGATGCTACATTCTATAACTGTATTGGAGTTGATGGAGATCTCTTGGACTTGGCTGCTGGCATTCACTCTTAGCTTGCTTTCTGCATGAAAAAAATGAAAACAGTTACTTTGCTAACATCAAATTTTAAGGCAGAAGGGATGTTAGAGGTCAACTAGGACAAGACTTCCTACATGCATCACATGTGTGAATCCCCTCTGTAGCAGCCTTCCTCACTGCTCGGCCTTTAAACTACTCACTGGCTGATGAAGCAGCCCATTCGCTCTTTGGATGGCTCTGGCCCTAGTGAATTCTGTCTGATGTCCTATTAAGTTTTCTCCCGCCATAACTTCCATTCACTGTTCCTAGTTATCACTTGTCAGGTGAAGAGGGGAAGTGTCACAAAGAAGAGCCCAATCTCTTTTTCACACAATTATTTTTCACTCAGTATTTAAACACAAACTCTGTAGCATTTCACGCATCAAATTGAGAAAAAAGTGGCACTGTTAATTCCCTGTATGTTCACTATCCATAGTATACTTCTGGATTCACCATTTGCCAAAGTCTAGTTATAGCTGCCTTCAAACATGAGTAAACAAAAGGAAATCATGAACTATTAACATTATACATCTCTTTGTAGCCACTCCACTGTGGGGACATCATATGGATATGGAACCAATGATCTTTTAACCCCAACTTTTCTGCTTTGTCAGAAAGATGTGCTTCCAAATCTTATTCTAACTTCTTGCTGACATCACCAAATCTAATTTTATAAGTGTTTGTTTATGTTGCCAATAGGTGCCTTTATTCTTCCTCCAAAAAACATTGATTAATAACATGTCATATTACATGCCAAACTATTCTAGGCTCTGTGGATACCTGCTCTCAGTGGGTCAGGAAGAAGAGAGAGAGAAAGAGAGAGAGAGGCAAAAAGTATCAGAGCACCCAGAAGGAATACCTAACCCAAATACAGTAGTGAGGGGAGATTTCCTGGAGGAGGGAACATTAAACTAAGTCTTAAGGGTTATAGGAATTATTTTGATGAAGAAAGGCCTAAGGAATTCCACACAAAGAAGCAATTTATCCAGGTGTAGTAGTGCAGCCCTGTAATTCCAGCTCTCTAGGAGGCTGAGATAGGAGAAGCACAGGTTCAAGTCCAGCCCAGGCAACTTAGTGACTTAGCAAGAATCTGTCTCAAAATAAAAAAGGGCTAGGGATGTAGCTTAATGCAAAGGCCCTGAGTTCACTTTCCAGTACCAAAATAAAAAAAAAAAAAAGGCAACTTGAAAAAACTTTGAGAGAACCTGGATTATTGAGAAACTATAAGTAATTCAGTGTGGTTGGAGTTCGAAATGAAGATGGAAAGTAAAAGGAAATGGCTGAAAAGACATAAATATGCTAGATTATAAGGGACCTTGCATGCCATGCTGTGAAGCTTTGGAGGTGGACATAGAGGAGTTTCGGATGACTCAGGTTTCCAACTTGGGTCACCGGTAGGTGGTGGCAACATAGGAACCAATGGGTGACGAATAGCTCTAGATAGTAATGGTGAGTTTCCTTTATGACACAGTGAGTGTAGACATCTCTGAGAAGTGGTTGGATGTGAGTCTGGAGATCAGAAAGGAAGTTTTTTAGGACAATGAACTTGGGAGTTGGCAACATACAGGTTGTATCCATGTCAACGTATAGGGTAGGGATGAGTCTACCTCAGGAAAATGTAAAATGAGAAGAGAACAAACTGAGGTGCATCCAAAGGAACCATTGTCTTCAAAGAATGAATTGGTGGAAGGGAACTGTGTATAAAAGAATTAGAAGAAGCAGTCAGTGTTAGGAAAGAAAGGGAGAAAATCTTGTGTTGTGGGGTCAAGGAGGGAAAAATGTCAAGAAGAAAGGTGTAGGGCAGCAATTTCAAATGTCACAAAACACACAAGTAAATTAAGGCATGATACGATAAACAAGGAGATAATTACTACTACCAAAAATATTGCTCACCAGCAGAGATAATATGACAGCTACCATGTTTGAGCAAATGCTTGCTGTATCAGACACTGCCAGGCACATTATACATGTTACCACATTTAAGTTGCACATCAATAATTTAAAGAAGAGATAACAATGGTTTTGACAGATGAGGTGACTTGTCCAATGTCATACTGCTATCGAGCGCTCCTCAGATCTAAATGACTTCAATGTCTCTCAAGCTTTCTATTCTAAGAGAATGCAAGTTAAGAGAGAGAAGATGCACAACACAGCCAAATGTTGCTGGGGTTGTGTCTTACTCTTAACCTCCATGCTCTGTTACCGATTGACAAGGTAGATTATATTTGACTACAATCATAAATTCTCTGACTCTTACACATTAGCACATTACAAAGAAGTAGACAAGTATATTCTAGTAGAATTTATATTATCCCTACCACTAGGGAGGACATTCCCAACATTTGATAACTGCCAGGGTATGGGCAGTGACCTACCTAAAAGGTGCCTCTCTACTGGACCACAGCTGTTGGGGTTCCTGCTGTTCTGGGATAGACCCTTTAGCAGCTGAGAACTTACAGACAGCTGAGCATGGTTACTAGCCAGTGTAGGAGTACTTCAGTGTTTTAACAACCACTGTGGCCATGCCAGACATGCTAACTTAACATAGGCTGGCGTTTTATTTATACAGTACAAGCATGAGGAGAGGGGACTTTATTTCCATAACCTACCCAAAATGAAAATGAGTTTTTAAAAGCAGGAATTAATTTCGAGGAGTGCTTACCTGGCAAAGTGACAGATATTTTCAGTGGGTAAGAGGTGGCAGAAGCCCTGGCTGGATTGTTTGTGTGTAGGGAATTTCTGTCATAAACTTCCACTTTACACTGATACATTCCTGTCTCTTCCATACTGGAATCATGGATTAGGAGTTGAGAACGATATGAAGACTGGGAAACCTTCGTCTTCTTGTGGAACTGGGGGAGGAAATCCCCCCATTGAACAGTGCCATTATGAGTGATTTGAATTAGCTGATGAAAGACTGGAGACTTGGCCGGCTGGAACTGCCAGGTCACGGTGAAAGGCAGCACGAGGCCAGCGCAGGTGGCCCCCACCATACAGGACAGGTCGAAGGTGTCCGTTAACTTTACTTTTGGCTGACGGCTCATCAGGCTAACTTGTAAGCTTGACTCTGCAGAGAAAAGTAAAACCCAATTTCTGATATGTCTACCAAATCAACACAAAGTAACTTCAAGTTTTCCTAGTGCCACTCTTCAGGTTGGGATGTGAATTTGTACATTTAGACTATCAAATTTTTTTTTGGTAGATGTGGATTCACAGTACAGTCTGTTCTGAATTCTGACCTCAGTTTCTGACCAAAGTTGACCCTTTCTATAACTGTTCTCAGCAGCAACAACAAAAAGTTTTTCTCCAGTCTGCTGCTTGGACAGCTCTGCCAAATGGGTAGAGCGCTCTTGGCCCTGTGGTCCTGCCTCCTTGCTTCCACCACTTCTGGGTTCAGTATTGGGCTCTCTTGCCCAAGCTAGAAGGGACTCTGCAATGCCGGGGCTGATCTCTCAAAAGGAAAAATGTATAAGGCTCAGCTAAGTCATCTGTGAGTCCACTCTGAACCCAGGCATGCTGTTGTAGGCTTGTAATTGCAGCTCTAGGCAGACCGAGGCAGGAGGATTGCAAGTTCAAGATCAGCCTGGACTACTTAGTGACTTAGGGAGATCTTGCCTAAAATGAAATAAATAGAAAGAACTGGGGATGTAGCTTAGAGTAACAGCTCTGGTTTCAATTCTCAGTATCAAAAAGGAAGGAAGGAAGGAAGGAAGGGAGGAAGGAAGAGAAAAACGTCCATTCCCAATTCATAGGATTTTGTTTTGAACTCTGAATATCAATTTACACATTGCATTCTAAAGACAGTGTTTATAAAAAGGAATAAACTTTAGAGGTGAATGGACAGACCCGGTACCAGAGACCGTGCTCTGTGACCTGGGATACATGTATCATTACTGAGAGACTCAGGATGACTTACAGGCTACACAGCAGAATGAATTGCAAGTACACAAAAGGATTTCTTTGGCACTTACTTAGAGATTTCACAGTGACTGAAATATTGTGAGTCCAGTGCAGCTCTTTAGCCTGGTTCCGGATTCTCTCAGACACTCTGCACTCATACACACCGCTCTCTGTGACGGTGGTGGAGGTGATCTCCAGCTGGAAGGTGACCCGGTCCACTTTGTCCAGCCTTGTGTTGCCGTGGCTTCTGTGGCCTCCCGGGGAGGCACCCAGCTGCACAGTGCCATCCTGCTCCATGTCAGCTATGAGCATGGGCGTGGTCTGGTCCCGCGGGATCCACCACCAGCTCACGGACAGAGGGCTCTCCGTTCCCCCTGCCTTGCAGAGAAGGGTGAGTGGCTCTCCTTCCCATACAGCTTGCTGCTGGGTGGACACAACCACACTTCTTGCTATGGATTACAGATTTTAGGAGAAAAAAGTGTTTCAAGTAAATGAAATTTTTTCTAAAATGCAGTGAAATCTCATTAAGGAGGATCTGACAAGTTCACGACAAGTCATATCAGGCTGTTTCCTCCTGCACCACCCCCAGAAAAAAGATCTGCTAAACACTTAAATAGTGGGAAGAAGGCAGCAGCAGGTAGGCTAGGAGAACCTACTTACACTTAGCGGCTTATCAGTTACACTTGTTTATTTATCAGTTTGTGAAATTAGCTCATGGTGAGGAATTTCTAGTTGGATAAATATTCAGTAGTATTTTGTTAGATTAATTAGGGTGGGTGTATGAACCTGAAGGTGATGAAGCCATGCTAATTTAAAGTTTTAGCCTTTTAGAATTCAGGGCTTCAGAGTTCAACACAATCTAACTGTTCCTACTGATCTCCCCTAATCAGTCCTAATTAGTTCAGTATGTGTTTTGAGCAGGGAAAGAACAGTGTTAATTAGATTTTTGTTCACCGTACCACAATAAAAATAATTACTTTGGGGAATATATATATATATATATATATATATATATATACTATGTACATATAATATCTATCAATCTACCTATCTACTTTCATCTATCTGTCTGCTATTGGTAAAGGGAGAGCCTTCTTAATGGCAAAACTACAGTACAAGACTATAAATGTTAAGCTAGTTCCTAGATGGGAAATTCAAAATGTGTAAAAATGCAGACATTCATTCAACAAATGCTTACTGTGTAGGGTCTTGTTCTGATTGCTTTGTGGGCAATGAAGAGATACATCAGGAGCTTGGGCATCTTATGAAGCCAGCAATAAATTTAAGGCCACGATTCCTGGAGTCAGAATTGCCCTGGGCAACACACTTGACCTCTCTGAGCCTTATTTTCTTTCCTGTAAAAACTAGGATAATAACACCACCTTCCTATTGCATTGTTGAGAGAACTGAACAAAGGGCATACACAAATAGCTGAGGTTGGCTGGCTAGAAAAAATACTCAAAAACGTTGGTTATTAGCATTAGTGTTTAATAAATGCCACAGGCAAAAGCAGAGGTCGCTCAAAGCAAAAGAGAAAAACAAAATAGAATTGACATTAGAAATCTAAAGAGGATCTAAATGAATTTGCAAATTGCTCTTCCTGGCTAGGAAGTTCAGTCTTGGGATGTTTTATGTATACATGTACACAAGTTACAAAGGCAGAATGAAAGTTAATGTCCATAAATAGTATTAAAAATAAAAACCCACTTGCAAATTTGGAGTGTTAGAAGCATAATTATGCCTTAAGTTTTTTCAAGGTAAAATGGCTTATCTATGAAGTTTAGAAATTTGAGGGGGAAACTATTACTCAAGTCTCACTGCTTTAACCATCATAATTAATTTCAACTAACTTTTTTAAAAATGATGTTTCTTTAATTCATTGAGATCATTACTGCCCCATGATAAGGAGTACTAAATAACAAGGTGTGGTTAAATTACACATCAGAGTGATAGTGGGTGCCTCCTCCTGTTTGAAATATTGATAGAATGACAAAAGTCTGCTTATCATTCAAATAATAGCTTGACTTTCAAAACAGAATGTTAAACACGATACTTAATAAATATGCTAATAAGTTTTCCTAGTTCTACATATGGTCCCCATTTGGACACCAGCCTATGCAAAGAATTAGTTTTAGCTTTGGAAGATAACCATGCTGATAGCATTATGAGCTGCATACCATGAAGCACACCTTCAGGTCTCTTTGGCACAAATTCCCACATCCTGGGTTTAAGTTTGCAGATATGTTTCAGGGAGATTGAAAAACACAAAGCAGAAATTTAGCTCCGTGCAAATGCATAAACCTACCTACACTGTTTTTCCTGAATCCTAGAGAATCAGATCAAATGTTTAGTGCAAAAACTGTCACCATCACACTTCCTGGCCCGCCCCTCGAGGCTGAAGCATGCTCATCTTCCTTCCTAGCCAACAGGGAGACGGGATGAACATGAAAGGGAAATTCATCTGTCTTTGGAGATGCCTCTAATGAGCCAGTGCAACAAGCATATCTTTATTTTAGTTCAGTTTTTAATTAACATTTAAACATTTTTTCTTTTTGCTTTTGGGCAATTATTCTTTCTGGATTTTGACTTTAACATTCAGCCCAAAGAATCCTAATATTAGCTGTGGATTTGTCTGTCTTCACTTTACACATAAGGCACTGATTACTCAAACATATTTAAAGTCACAACCTTCCCAAAGAAAAGGAGAGCTGAGTAGCTATCAGGTTCTGTTTTGAGTTGCAGTAACAAAAGTTGTGAGGCTGGGTAACTTAGTAATGGGGTTTATTGGGCTCACAATTCTGGCAGCTGAAGCGTCCAAACAGCACCGGTACCAGCATCCTGGCGAGGGATCCCTGGCTACATCAGAACATGAGGAAGCAGAAAGGGAAGCAAAAGTGGCCTCACTTTAGAATAACCTGCTCTCCCCATGGTATTCATGTATGCATATGGGTGGAGCTCCAGGATCAAATTACCTGAATATCACCACACCACGCCGGGCCATCAAACTTCTGCCACCTGAACCTTTCCAGGACAGACTACATCCGAACCATGGCAGCAGCATCCCTAGTTTCGTGCATACACTCAGAGTAGGCATCTGACCACAGCACAGCCAAGTGCAGGGCATGGAGGTGGCAGCTTCATTCACCTCTCTCCTACTCACTGTGTGGCAGAATTGTGACTTAAGTATCACTTCACAGCAGGTTAATCTCACAATGGATTAACAGAAGGTAACTGGAAGATGACTGGTCTCAGGGTTTGCTAATGTGGCTGCTGATTCCACAAGAAGAAGTGTAGCTCTTTATTCTTAACTGCCTCTCTCTGTCTCTCTCTGTCTCTGTCTCTCTCTCTCTCTGTCTCTCTCTCTCTCTCTCTCTCTCTCTCTAAGGACTTCATTAATATAGCTGTTCTCTGCTTACATAAAAAGAGCCAATGTATAAAAATTAGAACTAACAAAAAATTAATAGAATCAAAGAATCGAAGACAACACAAAGGAACTTACGGATCATCTAATTGTGTACCATCACTTTACAAATGAAGAAGCTGAGATTTGGAGGTGTATGTGCATAGTAACGGCCTACTTAATGGGTCAGGTGGAGGACTCCAAAGAGGCCCAGCTAGCCTAGGTATCTTCCTTTACTCCACTTTTCCTCCAGCAGGCACAGGAAGGTGTGCCTCCCAGCGTCCATGAAGCATGAAGCCTCTGTACCGCCAAAGGAGGGGCTGATTCATGCCTGGTCCTGACTTCACTTACCTGCTGGCTCCTTCAGGTGCACTTGGCTGACGGGTGACTGCTTTCTCTGCAGCACCTGCCAGGAGCCCATTGGAGTTTTCACCACCTCGGTTACTGCACAACTGTAGGCACCTTCATCCTCTGGGCCCGCTGAGAAGATCTTGAGGGAGAAAGCCTTGGGGCTTAACTTTGAAAGCTGGAGCTGTCCTTGGCTCACTCTGTCTTTGTAATGCTTCTGCAGATCCAGGACTCCACCAGCATCAATGTGGGCTATTTCAATCCCACCGAGTAACCAAACGACCTGAAGCTGTGGGTCCCGGCCGCTGCCCACCACCAGGCAAACCAGCTCCAAGGGTTTCCCTTCGGTGAAAGTGCTCTCAGCAGTAATGCTGACTTGAAAATCTCTCACTGGTAACAAAAACCAGGCAAGTATTAAGAAAGACCACTGCATCTATCCTTTCAGTACTAGAGTTGAGATTCTAGTAAAGCATACCATGAAGATTGCTTTGGATGTGACAGTTCAGTTCTGTAGTGGCAGACACCGCTTCACCCCTCAAAAAATTCTAGAATAAATAATGCCCATAAAGACAGGCATGGTTGTGTATGCTTCAAATACACTCTTGTAAGCTGAGGCTGGAGGATTAGAAGTTTGTGTCCAGCCTGGGCAACTTAGTGAGATCTGTCCCAAAATTTAAAAAAGGAGGATGGAGGCTGGGAATGTCTCAGCGAGAAAGCTCTGGGTTAAATCCCCAGCACAATACAAAAACTATGCACAAATGTATAAGGTATATAATTAGATATGCTTTGTATATTAAGACAAAACATTGAATTGCTATAAATTATGACCTCTCCCCCCCTGCCTCTGTGTTGGCGATTGAACCCAGGGCCTCATGCATGTTAAGCATGTGCTCTACCAGAGAAACATGCCCAGTCCTTATTTCTTACTCTCTTGTTTTGTCTGCTAATAGCCAGGGGAGTTATCCTAAGTTAAAACTACATGTGATGTGGCTTTGTAGGACTCACTGAGTGTAACTTGGATACTTGAGGCTAACAGGACAAATTTTTTTTTTTTGGTACCAGGGATCAAACTTGGGTCCTTCTGCTCTCGAGGCAGGCAGTGGAACCACTGAACTAAATCCCAGGCCCCTAACAGGACAATTTTTAAAGGAACAGAATAACATGTATCTTAAAAAAAAAAGAAAGAAAACTTCAGTGATCCACCACTGGAACATAGTTTCACTAATGAATATATATGGTATTGGGAATTCCCTCCTATTGGGTCAAAGCCTATGGGAAAGACCAGAAATTTGCCAAGAATGCCAATAAATCATGACGAGTGATACTCTTCCAAAATGGAAAAAGAAGTCAGGCAGAAGGAAATCCCACTACTGACAAGGACAAGATTGAACCCAGAGCTTTCTCACTGAGACATTCCCAGTCCCACCCCTTTAACTTTTGGGACAGGGCCTTGCTAAGCTGCCCAGGCTGAACTCAAACTTGTAATCCTCATGTTGCAGACTGGAGCTACTCTGAGGCTCTACTGTCTGTGGTAAGTGGGCTTTGGAGAGAGACAGGCCTGCCTTTCAGTGCTAGTCCCACCTTTCTTCCACTGGATGAACTTTGGGAAGCATTTACCACACCTGGAGCTCAGGGTCCTCATTTTCAAAGTCAGGAGTTGACTAGTTGCCTCACAGATGGTTAGGACTAAATTAAATAATGTAGATAATGTGCTTACAAAGTGCCTGGAAAAAATGGTTACAAAACTATTTCCATGGCTGTCGGTGTAATCCATCTAACTATTTGACATTCTCATCCCATATACATCCTCCTGTGAACAAAGCCAAAATGGAGCATACTTCTTCTTTGTTATGCTTCCCAGACGACAAAAACAAAATTGAGTCAAAATTTCTAGCTAAGTTTTTTTTGGGGGGGTCAGCAAAAGATTTAAAAAATTAAAAAGATATCCCTGAAATACTCATTACTAGTGAAGCTACACATTTCCTGAGAAGGTAGTTACCTGCTGGCTGGACTCTCAGAGTTGTTTGATCTGTCTGCTTTTTTGTGATGGAAATCCAGGTTTCATCTGGATCCTGAATCCATTCAGCTGCCTCACAGAACAGCTGACCTTGGTCTGAGGGCTGGAGCCTGCCTATGGACAGCCTGAAGGTAGTGACCCCAAGCTTGTCGAGCCTCACATCACCAGCTGCAAACCTCTCTGTGTATGAAGGCCCAGGAATCAGCATAAAATCTCTGGAGAGAGAAATAATCTTGGTGGGCTGGCCACTTTCTTCTTGCTGCATCAGGTACCAGGTGACAGAGAGGTGGGTATGCTGAGCTGTGGCTTTGGATGCCTTGCAGGTAAGTTCTAATGCTTCACCTTCCTCCTTACTGAGAGTCTGGGGATGCTTGGTGGCAGAGAGAGTATCTGGAATAACTGAAAACAAAGGAATGATGATAATATGCCCAGCCCACTCTTATCCAATTAAGGAAGATGGTGCCCTGAACCCTCATCTGCAAAACACATCCTTTGAGTTGGTTTTTCACCAACCATAAGCTTCCCTACTGGCAATGGAACCACTGGCCTTTGTGTACTGTCTATGGAACCTGGCAAAGCAAATGGCTCAATGAAATATGGTCTCTGACTTTGCCTTATCAGCATAGGATGTAACTAATTTAGCTACTCAGACAGAGTATTGATAGGGGAAAATCACTGGGAGCTTCCAGAGCTAGATTCTGACCCTCTGTCCCTAAATCTGACTCAGTGAACTTGGGCATATCGCTTCATTTTCCTGGGCCTCCACCTGCTTCTTATGAAAAAAGTTCTGAAATAACTGGTTACAATTTATCATTCAGAGCTAAGATGCAATCTGTGTCAAAGTTTTATAACCATCCTACTATGCTACCTCTGCTCACCTTCAAATGAAATAACACAGCTCAAGATTAAGTGAAAGCAACATGTAGCTTGAATCAATGACTATTATTGGGCATCTACTCTGTGGTAGCCACTGTGCTAGGAGCTGAGATAAACATTCTCTCTCAAGAAGCTCAGAGAGTGATGGGAGCAGTGTGCACCAATAGCAAATTACCACGTAACGGGGTGAGTGCTGTCAATAGAGCATCAAGAAAAAGGAAGGTGATATGGGTTCCACAGAAGAGGTTATATCAAAACTGGCTCTTGAAAGATATGTAGGAATTCACCAAGCTAAAGAGGGGGTGCTAATATTCCAGGCCAAGGGACACAATGACAATTGTGCAGGACAATGAGCCCCTGCTCACAGGAAAAAGTGCTAGAGAGCGGTAGTTTGAAAATAATTTCCAAGCTAGTTACTTGTCACCTATGATACTAATACCAGTTTTCTCATCAAGTTACTGTTCTGCCTCGAAGCAAGGACTCAACGATGGTGGGAATCCTTTAAAATTGGTCTAAAGCTGTACTATTACCAACCTATGAATATCACTGTTTAAATTTTTACAGTACATGATTGGGAAAACTGAACTGGTCATTTTAGAGAATGTAAGATACCAACTTGTAACAAATTCCCAAACCATCCAGCGGGCTAGGAGGACTCTTCCCAAAGAAAATAGAACAAAGCCTGTCTCACTGCAAATGCACCAAGATGGTGGAGACTGGCTTCTCCAGGGCTGGACAGCAGAGGGGGACAAACATCTTACCAGTTAGATTGGTCTTCGCACTGTAACTTCCATAGTATTTCTCATCCGTGTTCAAGGTGTGACACTCATACTCGCCAGCATCCTTCATCTGGAGCTTTGAGATGTGCAAAAAAACCGAGTTGCCCTGCACTCTGTCTATGTAGATGTCCCTGCTTCGCACCCGCTGTGCATACACTGCATAAGAGAAGGCAGCATCCTTGGTGCTAATGATCTGTATTTCCCTGGCTGGGGCTGTCGGCAGGTAAACAGACCACTGGAAATGCTGCTCAGAAGGTCCCTGATGGCCAGTTACATTACAGCCAATGCTGACAGGGTAACCTTCAGCTCTATACAACGGTCCTTTTTGAACGGTTACTTCTCTCTGCCCAGTGCTGAGCTTAGCTTGCAAATAGGAGAAAGAGAGGGGAATAAAAATAGATTAGTGCTCTGGTTCCCAATGTACCACATTATGTAGTTCCCAATATTACAGTTCTGGTAAATGAGATCACAGGTTATTAGCAATAATCAACTCCAATGTTCACCACTTTCTTTAGGTTAAGCAGCAGTAGAATGGCTTGATGCATAGTTGTCCTTTTATAACTTTAACTTCCATAGTAATCTCTAGTCTCTTTAAAAAAAAAGCTTAGCTTCATCCATGTAACATGGCTACATCCATAAAACACGGTCTTATCTAAGTGCACTTATTTTAAAGCAATGTGTGATAATTTATTTTTTACACTATTTTGTGAGGAAATCCGGCACATACTTCCTCCAGTCTCACTTTCCAGAGCTATTCTTATAGAAGTGGTTGCTGGAGAGGCAAAGTCTATAGCTCTGCCCCCAGTGCCCTGATTTTTCAGGCTGGTTGGAAATATTCATAGCTCTTAGCCATCTGATGCAAGATTAGCCAAAATTAGCATCTGAAGGGGCAGCAGCACTTCCTTTCTATACTGAGGAGAATTTTGTTTTGTTTTTTCTAATTTCTAGAGAGCAACTGTAGCTTTACTGAAAAGCTTCATATTGGATGACTATAAAGACCAGCAAGTTTTGGGATCAAAATTTATTTTAGTTCTCTTTTTAAAACGTTTTCAGCTGGGACCACTATGGAATGTTTTCTGTTGAAACAAATCTTAATTACTAAGTGTAAAGAAAAAAACATAATTAAATGATAACATTTCACTAGAAAAAATTTAAACCCAGCATTTCTCAGAAATCAAAAGGTTTATGTTTATTTATTTTGATTGATATTAAGGGCAAGTTCATTTTTGTCTCAGAAAGGCCTGATCTTCCACTAGCATCCGGGGCACAGTAGACAGGGAAGACAGGGTTAAAAGACATCAGAAGGCCCAAAGGGGAGTGGTGGCTGCTATTGTGGAGTTAACAGAATAGAGTTTTTAGGAAGAATAGAAGTTGCAAGAAACAGGGTATCTGCTGAATTATGTGGCTTCACAGGGACAAAGAGAAAAGGAAACTACACAAGGAAAGAAGTCAGGGGAAAAAAATGACATTATAGAAACCCCAAAAAGGCTGAGTGTGGGAATTTTAGATGAAATGAAAACAATCCTAAAGTATATAAGGGGGCTTAGAAAACAAAAGGCAAGGACAGGAAAAATAAGCGCTCTCCTGATGCAGTCAACTAGAACCTGGATCTGTGTATGTTCAATTTCAAACTGGTAAATGAACTAACCAATACCCAGGCAGTCAACCAACCACATACATTTCCAGTAATAAATTAAATACAGATTTATTAACAAATCTCAATTAATATATTTATATCTTAATATTTTGTAATAAATATGGGAGTTAAATCACCTTAGAAAAATGTAAATTATTACTTACCAAAAAGTTATGCTATAGAGGCAGTTTAAAACATTTTCAGCAATGCCCTCTTAGAGAAATGCTATGCTACATTTATAACCATGCTGTTTATTATAACCCCAAACAAGAGGCAACCCGTATGTCCGTCAAAAGCACAATGGATACCGGAGAATGGTATAGTCATAGAATGGAATATTACACAAAATTGGAAATTAATGAATTACAACTATTTATAACATGGATGACTGTGTTCAATCAAAGATGCAAGGTCAGCATTGGTGGTATAGTGGTGAGCATAGCTGCCTTCCAAAGATGCAAGATATTTATTTATTATTTATTTATGGAGGTTTTTTTGAGACAGGGTTTTGCTATGTATTCCAGGCTAGCCTCAAACTCACTATGTGGCCCAGGCCAGCCTCAAACTCATGGCAATCTCCCTGCCTCGGCCTCCTGTGTGCTGGGATTACAAGTGTGAGCCACCACACCTGGCTTGAGACACTTTTGAATCCTTTTGATGATATGCAGAAATGATTCTATGGTTTACAAAGTTTAAACACAGGCAAAAACACATTGTGCTGTTTAGTGATGCATTAAAAAGCTAGGAAGTTGTTGTCATCAGTCAGGAAAGTGATTGCGTTGTACTCTGATGGGGCCTCACATCTGACTGTGATCAGAATGAGTGTATACTTCTAGGATCCTGGCAATGTTCTGTTTTTTGACCTGGGTAGTGATTGCACAGGTTTTAGTTTTTTCTTATTTGTTAAACTGCATGTTTATGTTTTATTAGCCTTTTCTTGTATGTTACATTTCACTGTAATTTTTTTTAAATAGGGTTTTTGAGGCACCACTAACCTGTTTATATCAGGGCACATTTCTATAAATGTTATTTTTGGTGGCTAGGCAACACTTCTCCAACATTTTCTATCACATTTCAGTGAGACAAGTACCACATTTGAAAACATTTTATTGTGGAAATTAGCACTTCATTTTCTACTGTTTATTTGCCAACTCAAATATTTATTCAACCACTTAATTGTATTTCAGATGTTGCAGAGCCTAAGATAAGAAGAGGAGTTTGGAATAGGCTCTCCTTCCAGATTTTATAATCTAGTCAAGTAGGGGGGTAGTCATCTCTCTATGAGAAAGAATATAAAATGCTTTAAGGGATTTGATAAAAGCAAAAATTACTGTTTGAGAGATGGTATTTGCAGTGGACCTGGGAAAACTGGAAAGACTGACAAATGGGGAGACAAGGCTTTTTAGGTGAGGGAGACATAATGACAAGACTACGAGTAGGAATCAAAAGACTTGTTCAGAAAATGGGGAGTAAACTGGATGGGGGAAAAGTTGCATCATGATTAAAAGGAAGGGATAAGACTGGCTAGGAAATTTTGTTCATGAAGGACTTGAGTATGATGTTTAAAAGTTTGGACTTGACTCATTAGGCAATAGCAATCCACTGAAAGTATCTGAAAGGTGTTAGGAATTTAGCCTGATGGTTTTGTGGAGGATGAAGTCAGAAGCAGACATCAGTAATTATAGTAGCCTGGGACAAAGGTAAGGAAGGCATAGGGATGAAAAGAACTATGAGTAGGAGCTGAAATCTATCCGGTTTTGTGTTTTGGATGCTTGGGAGTCATAGGGGTGAATAGAGGAATTGCAGGTAAGAAGAAATCAAAGATACCAAGGTTTTATAAGATTGAGAGATAATTGTACTCTCTAGAAATCAGAATAACAGCAAAAGTTGCTGTTGTATGTTCAAGGGTGAGGAAGAAGATGATGCATTTAATTCTGAAAATACAAAATTTGAGTGCCATGGCATAAACAAGAAGGATAGCCAGCAAACATTTGGAAATTATATTCAAGTGTGCATATTTTACTTTAAAGTTGGCTCAATCCTTTGAAAATATTTGTAATCTAACCCTTTCAAAAACTGTGATATTACCATATTTAGTAGTGTCAAATCTTATAAGTGGCTGAGTCAGATTTGAACCTAGACTTCCACATTCCAAACCCATGGCTGTGTCCATTGTTTCTCACTGCTTCCTGATTCGGTCAGTTACAGATAAGCATTGGGACATGTTAAAGAATATAGGGAAGAGGATAAGAGGGAGATTACTAGAGAGAGTATCTCTATTTAGAAATGGGATGAGGACTAAAACCTACAGAAGGAAGAGTTAGGGAGGTGGAGGGTCGCCAGAGCACGAAGGCACAGGGATCAAGGGCAGCAGAATATTTCAGAGGAAAGGGTTTGTCAGCGCTGCCAAAGGCTGCTTGAGGGCAGGGGACTTCTCAGGCCAAGGAGGGCACTTTAGTTGGATGCTGATCAGGCCCCGGAGAGCTCTGTAAGAGAGATTTTTGATAGAACAGAAGCAGAAGTTTTCAAGGGTATCTGGGTGATGAGAAGTAGTGAGGGAGGGGATGCATGTCAGCTCCCTTGCATGTTTATAGGCAGAGGCAGCAGTGGGTAGAGAGGTAGAGGTGGGTGAAGCCAGAGAAGATGAGAAGCCAGAGAGGGCCTGGTAGAGGCATATGGTCAAGAACATGGCCTCACTGTGGTCTGAGTGCTTGTGTTCTCCCAAAATCCATATGTTGGAACTTAAACTCCAGGTTGATGGTATTAGGAAGTGGGCCTTTAAGAGGTAATTAGGTCAGGAGACCTCTGACCTTGAAAATGGGATTAGCATTCTTATAGGGGACTTCGAGAGCTAGCTAGTCCCTTCCACCATGTGAGGACTCCGCTAGAAAGTTCCATCTACGAGGAAGGGGCCCTCACCAGACACCAAGTCTGCAAATGTTTCAGTCTTGTACTTCCAAGGCTCCAGAGCGGTAAGGAATATATTCCTGTTGATTCTGACCCACTCGGTTTATGATATTTTTGTTATTGCAATCAGGACACATTGAGACATGCTACCTTCTCAGGAAAGTGAAAGAACTAGTGTGAAGGTACCATAGGTATTTTTGAGGTGAACATAAATAACAGTGATCAATTCAAGTGGCTCCACATTGGAGTCATACAGTGAAGCATCTTATAAATATTCTCTCTGTGGGTTGTTTCAGGGATGTCTCCTTTCCTCCTAAACAGCAAAATGCCTCAGAAGACTGACTCATTGTTTCATTTTTAATGGATAAAGGAATAGGACCTTTGGCACAGAAGTTCAAATTCTTGTCTGATGAGTACACAACTTGGCACTGCCACACTAGCATAGGAGCCTTGCTCTTGAAACAATTAGAATTCCTGGAGGGTATTAGCATTCTTAACAAAACAAAACAAAACTAAAGGAGCTGGATGTGGTTGGGACCAAAAGTTGGAGCCCAACCCGGGCAACTTAATGACTCGACTTAGTGAGACTCTGTCTCAAAAAATATATATAAAAAGGTGCTGGGGATGTAGCTCAGTGCAAAGACCCTGGATTCAGTCCTCAATACTGAAAAAGAAATTACTGGACTTGTCAAAATTACAGTTTCAGTATTGTCTGACTGAAAATTATTAGGTTGGACCAAAATGGCTGACATTCAACCATTTTGATATAAAAAAATAGTAATCTCAAATAATTGTATTTCATACAAAGCTTACCTAGAGAATAGCCAATATACCAAGCAACATCTCTTTCTTTATACATATAAAAACCCCTATAAGCTTGGAGCTGAGATAGCTTCCATCTATAATTAAGTGAACTCTTTTTTGGTCTTTGTTTTTTACATGAACACAATCTCAGTAAGAAAAACACCCTCTGCCCAAGGCCCTCTATGTTAACTGGCCTTTATTCATAGAGCAGTTACTCAAGGTAAGGGTGGCAAATCAAGCAGGCAACGACAACTGTGGGAGACTGCAATATTGATTATACTCAAAGCAGGCTGTAAGCAGTGCAGGCTGTGAAGAGTTAACCCCACAAGTGGCTTGTTTATAGAAGCAAGTCCAGCCGAAGCCTATGTGTTGAGGTCAGAGTAACTCACACCCAAATTCTATTCCCACACTAAAACCTTCTTACTAGAGGGACAATGTTCTAATTACAACCATATATTTTGTCTATTCTGTTCCTAATTCAGGAATGCTTTGTCTTATTGTTTATGAGCCTTGTTTATATTAATTTCCACAGAAACCACACGATTGAACATTTTCTCATGTAGTCCTGCCTTTGCACGTAGATTGCCTTTACCCCAATTGATTACCAATAAAAATGAGTGGCTTGGACGGGCCAGCACCTTTTGCTAATGTAGCATTGGCTCTCCTGTCACCCCACTTTCTGTCTCTCTTAGTTCTGTCTTTTAGTTTTTTTCCTCAGGCTTGTGTGGTACACTGAGCAGGAGACTGGAGGCTACTGCAGAGGTTTCCAGGAACATTTTAGGGGTTTCCAGTAGACAACAGCTAAGTCCTAGTGCTCATTTACCCATTAACTTCACCTAGCACCATATTCTAACCTCTTATTCAGTCTTGATACCTACTGGAAAAAAATAAATAAATTGGGGGCTGGGAGTGGTAGAGTGTGTGAGCTAGGTCCTGAGAGTGTAAACTCCAGCAATAACAACAGACAACATATATATTTGCTAAACAATGTAACAGATAAATTTACCATCATTTAATTAATTTCCTTCCTTTCTCCTATATTTGTAATGACAAGTAGCAGGCTTCCAAAACTTTTTCAAGTTACTTCCTGATTTATTTATTCTTCACATAAAAACTGTGGCTCTATACAAAATTAGTGCTTGAAATGAGTCAGAAGCTAGAAGAAATAACTATATAATTTAGGTAATTGTTGAAGAGTGTTAAGGAAAAGCTTCCAGTTTTTCCTATGAAGTCTTGATTACTCCTTTCTTCCCCCAGACCTTCTGCCTTGCTTACCAAAACAACAAGCAAACAAACAAACGAAAATGAAAACCACAACAGAAGCCACAGAGAGAATTTGCAGTTACCCAGTTCCCCCTTACGCATAAGGCAAACATATTTTTCAAATACACAAAGCACATACACTTGAGAATCTTAGTTGGACAACTGAACAGAAAAAAGCAAAATCCATCAGCCCCTGGAGGACCCCACCAGGACACCTGCCCATTAACACTTGCCATGCCAGTCTGGCAGGTCCCCGTTATCCAGCAAGGGATCCTGGTGAATTTCCCTGCAGGCTACTTTTCTCCCCATCAGGCCCAGATCTGATCCTTACCAACATATCCCTTGAGATAAAGGAGCCCAGGTAAACTTAACCAGTGCTTATTCAGCAGCTTCTTTGTACTGAGTGCTATACTTCCAATTTTTCAGCTATGGCCCTGGATACACTGATTACAGCTTCATTCACTTCCCCCATCATCCCAGCCATCCAGGTTCCTGCATTAACTCTACTCATCTCTTGAAAGCCAACTTTCATCATCTGGATCCACAAACAGAATTAAAGGGCCCATCAACTGTGGCGAACAAAAACCCATGCAGCTTTATTTTCATTAATCTCTAATGAAAATTTAGTATTTTCTTCAGTTGAGAATGTAGACAGTGAATCACATATTTTCACATCATATTGCCATGGTTGCAGCTGTATTAAAATATTATTCATACTCATCATTTCATTGATGTTTGGTGGCTAATAGATCCACCACTAGATCTTGCTATATAATACATAATCAAATAAATCACTACATCATAATTTATTAAAATTTTTTATAACTATTTCAGTGTGACCAATCTCCTCTACAATCCTCTGCATTTTATTTTATGCATTTAAAAATGATTTTGAGAGGGCCGGGGATTTAGCTCAGTGGTTTTTGCCGCCTGCTGCGCAAGCGTTAAGGACGCAAGTTCGATCCCCGGTGCAAAAAAAAAAAGATTCTGAGGGCTGGGGATGTGGTAGAATACTTGCCTAAGTATGCACAGCATGAGAACTTGAGTTTCATCCCCAGCACTTCCAAAACAAAACAAAACAAAAATTTGAGATAGGTCCATAAAGCCTCACCAGATGCTAAAGGAAACTATAACATAAAAAAGAACATGGTAGCTGCTTTGTCCAGTCTGGAACTATTTCATTTCCTGCCTAATTCCTCTGGTTCTTCCCTCTACCTCCAAATTTCCACTTCCAGCACCTTGTTCTAACATATATAAATGTCCCTCAGTCAGGTAAGACAAGTAAATAATCATCCTGCTCTTTCTTGGGCTCTCAGTAGTTAATGCCCATATTACTCACAGGCAAAGTACAGAAACTTCTTTTAGCTTAGTGCTCTCTTAACCTTTTCTTCTACCCAGCCAGATCCCCAGGCATATGTGCCCAGTCAAACCCTATTCTCAGGCAAACCTTAAGGTCTCCTCTCACTCTGGGAAGCAGAGCATCTCACATACTCTCCAGACAGGTGGCCTAAGAAGAAGTAAAAGGTTTGCAAAAGTGAAAGATTTGGCAATGCAGACAAATGTAAAACACAGTGGAATCAGGTGCTTGGGACTCAACCAAGCATTGCACTTCCCAGGAACTCAAGGTTGTCCAAGAAAGCCAAGAATTGTCATCAATAAATCAAAAATTATTGACAACCACAGAAGCAGGTGGCATGGTTGTTTCTGGAAAGACCAAATTGTGCAGCTCAATCACCCAGCAGCCTCCCATTGATTAGCTCTTGTGATGATAGAAACACAGAACTGTGAAACTTACTCAGAAGGAGAGAGAAAGATGCCATATACAGGGCGTGTGCCATTTGGACCAGTATAGACCTTTCCAGGAAGCATCACTGAAGCCGTTCAGAAGCTGAGTGACAAATGTGCTCTCACTGCAAGGGTAAAGAGGAAGCAATTGTGTGGTTTTCAGCCCACTGAGAAACACAGATGACATGCAAAAAGCAAGGCTGGTTACTTTATATTGTGCTCTGCTAATCTCTCAAATTGAGCTGTAAAAAAATTAGTTACCTTTATGGTTAAGTAAGCATACACAGATAAAAATAAGATGGGACTCATCCTGGCTAAATATATATCACTTGGCAATAATGGGAGAATTTAAGTAAACTGAATAAGTAAAAAAGCAAGGAGAAATGTTCTCTTTTTGGCCCTTCCTTTTCTTCCCATCTTGAGAGAGGAAACAAGCAAAGGGCCCCTAGAAAATATGAACTTGGGGTCACATGATGTGTGAAGATGACAGGCTGTGGAATCAGCCTGTCTGGTTTGCACGCAGTAGTTAATGCCCCCATTACTCATAGGCAAAGTATAAAACTTGGTAGCTGTGTGATCTTGGAAAAGTTAATTAACGTTTTCTAATCTCTTCTCTAAAATGAGGATACTCATACTATGTACCCTATAAGATTGCCATGAAAGCTGAATAAGCTAATTAATTTTAAGCATTTAGAACAATATCCAGTACATAGTGAGTCTCAATGAATATTAGCTACCGTCATCACTATCGTAGGACATTTAAGTCTCTGTCTGCCCAGTATTGGCCTGGGCACCAAGGACGGCAGAGGAGCACCTATGTATAACCAGTGGTACTGAACTCAGGACAATTTGATCCTTCTCTAGTCCTTGAAGGCAAGATCATATGAGGGATGGACTTGAAGAGGACATTAGCTTTAGTCTCTAAGCCTGGATCTAGATCAGTCAATAATAAATGCATCTGTTTTAGATCACAGTGACAGGCAGATCACTGCTCCATCCAGCCATCCAGCCATCCATGCATCCATCCATCCATCCATCCATGCATCCATCCATCCATCCAGCCAGCCAGCCAGCCAGCAACTATTTAGTCCTTGAATGTTCTGAGAGCTATGGTTAGATTTGCACATACAAAGATGTTCACAACCTTGCCTTTATGCTCAGGAAGCTCTCACTTGAATCAGATAATCACCATGCAATAGGGCACCTAACTGGGGTGAGGGAAGGTGGTAGGCAGGAGAGATAATCAGGATGGATGGGACTGGGCCGAAGGAGGCAACAAGGGAGCAAAAGGGGCAAGGGATGATTGGGGAGAAACAGTTTAGCATGGATAAGTGATGCACAGGTTGTTCCCTCCTACTGGAGGTGAAGGTTAAGGCTGGCGTAAAAGGAGAAAGGTCTGTAGGTTTGCTGGGGCGGATCATAATGGGCTACTCGTGCCCCGCCTAAGAGCCTGACTTTTATCTTGAAGAACAGGGAAGATATTACAGAGGGTTTGTTTGCTTGTTTACTTATTTGTTTCTTTTTTATTTTGTTTTTCAAGAGTATAGCCTTTATTTTAAACTTGAATTCCATACTTGTGTATCACTAACTGGTTGAAAAACGAGGAAGGGTGAAGAGGCAATAAGCAAGAAGGCCAGTGACGGGATTTTGCAGAAGTTTGTATAAGCACTGTGAGGGCCTGAATTAGGGCATCTAAAATGTAGAAGAGCAACCTAGGCGTGGTGGTGCGTGCCTGTTATCCTAGAACTCTGAGAGGCTGAGGCAGGAGGATCAAAAGTTTGAGCCCAGCCTGGGGAACTTAACAAGATTCTGTCTTAAAAAAAATAAAAATAAAAAAAGGGCTGGGGATGGAGCTCAGTATGAAGGCCTTGGGTTCAATGCCCAGAACTGCAAACAAACAAAAACAAAGCCAGAAAACCCCGAGATATGAAATAATTAAATGCTTATCACCTATACGAGTGCTACAGATTCATCCGTAGTTAAAGTACAGCCTCTGAGCTCAACGAGTGAAGGTGAGGCCTGGTGGGGGTGAACAGGAAGGAAGGGAGAGCGGGCCTGACTGTCATACAGGAAATAAGGTGAGGTCCCCTAGGAGGCGGGCAAGGAAAGACATACTGACATTTGGAGAAGGGAGAGAGCCTGTCTAATGTGCAGAGAGTGGGAGAGGCGAGGAAAACCTCAGGGTAAAAGCAGAATGTAAAGGTAAAATTTATTTTTCTAGGGGGAATTAGAGGAGAAAAGTGCAACATTCTACAAACTCGAGTCTGGACGCCTGCAACTTCACTCATGCACTCCTTCCTTCATCTGTCTGTCTGTGCACCCATCCACCAAGTCATCCCTCCCTCTGGTTTTGTTTTCCTTCATTAGTAAGGACACCTAACAATTAGCCCCCGAATGCCAGTTAACCTACAAATTAGTGAATATTAGTCTTTAGTGAAGACCCTGCACTTTTCTTTTCAAGGTTCTATGCAAGCAGTGAGGAGGATAAAAGAATCGTACGATGAGCCGATGAGCCCTGCCCTCCAGGAACTTGGATCTTAGTTTAGTAAACTGCTGTCGATAAGAAAGAGTAGTCATATAAGAGAGAATGTGTCAGTATCCAATTCATGGTTCAGACAGGAAATCTCCCAAGAGTTAATAGATTGGAGAAGCAGGGGGCAACCACACAAGAGCATCCAGAGAAAGCTGATTTTAAGAAGGTATTTGGAGATCAGATACAATTTAAATAAGCAGGGAGGAGAAGAAAAGACATTCCAGTAAGAAGAAATTAACTGCACAAAGAAAGAGGCAGGGGTGTGTAGGTTGTATTTAGGGAAATATTAAAGGGAAGCTTGCCTGGAATGGAGATTTCAAACTAACTCTCCAAGCTGTTGCTTACTATGAACAGAGCTTGAAGTATGGGAATTTGTTCACCATTTCCGCTAGAGAAGTCATGGGCACCAACGTTTTAGGCAAATGTACTGTATCAATTAGTTTCTACTGTGTGACAAACAACCAAAAGACCTTGGTGCCCTCTAGCAGTATTTTTATTGACCAGCTATGGGTCAGCTGGGTGGCTCTGCTTATGTATCTGTAGCTGGCTTGTGGGAGTGGCGTGGTCCAGATGGCTTTGGCTTGGATAGCTCCGCTGTCCTCCATGTGTCTCCCGTCTCCCTAGCAGGCTGGACTTACACATTTGCAGCATAATGTCAGGGGTCCGAAAGCACCAGTGGACCCATGAGCACTTTTTAAAATTTCTATTTACATCAGGAACAACCTCAGGCCAAAGCTAGTCACATAGCCAAGTCCAAAGGCAAGAGATGGATTAATAGATTCTGCCTCTTTAAGGAGTGGAACTGCACAACGGGAGATTTAAAAAAATGGAGTTATCAATGCAATCAATCTGCCAAGTGCATCACAAAGAGAATTATTTTAGAAATAAGCATTAACCTCAGAGACAATTGTTGCCAATAATACAGAGTATCCTGTATTCCTGAAATATAAACAATCCAGTTAATGCTATGCAACTTCTTATTCCTGGCTGTTGCCAAAATATTTCTTCTCTTTCTATTTTAGTGGCTCCATTTCTGCCAGAATTTAACATTGACAGGGTGATGTCACTTCTTTGCTGGAGAGGAAAAAAGAAGCTTTCTGTTGTTAAGGAAAAAAAAAAGAAGAAAGAAAGGAAAAAAATAGAGTTGGCAAATGAGACAGTTATTCTATTGCCTTGGGAATCACTGCATTGCAATTGTACCAGTTGAAAGGAATGTGAAAATGTAGCTCCTGATCCAGAGGGGGAGAGGAAGAGGGCCACTGCTGGACAAAGCAACTAGGAATACATCAAAGGGAAATTCTGTTCCAGCTCCTGCAATACCAATGAGAAGATCTTTCTTACAGGTTCACATACTCCAATATTAGTCCCCAAATTCATGGAAATTACAGGTATTGTGGTCTCCTATCTTAAGCATTCAGGTCCCAGGAACAAAGATCTTTCACATATAAGGTTTTGTTTTGTTTTGTTTTTGAGACAGGGTCTTGCTATGTAGTTCATGTAGGCCTTGAACACACTAAGTAACCCAGGCTGGCCTTGAACTCAGTGAGCCCTCTTGCCTCAGCTTTCCAAGTGCAGGCATGTTCCACCATGTCCAGTTTACATATTAGGCTTATTGCAAAGCACTTCACATGCAATTTTATACAATAATTCGTATCACTGTGTGGTAGGCATTATTAATCCCATTTCATAGACAGGTAAAATGAGACTTGGAGTCTTAGACTAACTAATCCAAAATTAAGTGGGTAGAAAATGGCTGGATTCTAAGACTGCTCATTCACTTTAACACATCTGCTGACTTATCCACGATTGCCCTTTTGCTGATATTGTCTCTAGTGGTCAAAGCACCAGTATGCAGTATGCATCTAGATGCCACCAGGCTTCACATCCAATTATAAAGCCCTATTAGTTTGCCCTAAAATCTTTTTTCTTCAACTCCTAGGCTCCTCCTCCTTCAGCCTCCTGAGTAGCTGGCATTACAGGCACACACCACCAGGCCAGGCTGTAAAATCTTTTATGAATTAATTCTACCTCTTGCTGTCACAATTGAAAGCCTCCACTTTTCACCTGGACTAATGCAACTCAATTGGTCTCTGGCTTTGCCCTTTCCCTTTACTCCGCTGTGAGTGATCTAAAACACAAACACAGCTATGCATTTTCCAGATGAAAGTTTCTGGTGGCTTCCAGAGTATTTCTAGACTGTCACGTTCAAACTCCTTTACAATCTGGCCCCTGGAAACTCTCTCAGCACCTTACCCTTCACTTTTGTCCTTCAGCAGCACAGAGCCACTTGTATTTCTCTGGGCCTGTCCTCCCATTGTTTCCCTCTTTAACTCTGCAAGCGTGATCCCTTCTGCTCAGGATGTTGCCTCATCCCTATCTGGGAAATGTCTATTCGTTGTTTGTTTGTTTTTCCACTGCTGGGGAGTGAACCCAGGAACTTTGCTGATACCCCAGCCCTCTTTTAATTATTTTGAGATGGGGTCTTGCTACATCTCTAAATTGCCCATCTTGCTACATCTCTAGGTTGGGCTTGAACTTATGACCTTCCTGCCTCAGACTTCCAGAGTGCTGGAACACACCTGACAAAGTTTTTTTTAAATTACAGGCTTTGCATCTCCTATGTGAAACTTTTCCTGACTCCTTGGATAGAGCTCACCACTCCTTCCTCTGAGTTGTCAGTGAGCTTCTATAATTTTACTTG